GAAGGGTCCGGGGTAATGGGATGGGGTAGGCCTGGCCGAGAGCTCAGGATGGTTCCTGAAGCCGTGGCTGCACTCTGATAGCTGCAGCCTGTACAAAACTCAGCAGTGTGCACAGCAGGCACTGAGAGGGACGGCAGCGAGCTGCAGGCACACAGCACTGCCCGGGGCTGGCTGGAGGGGCCGAGGCTGTTTGTGGCCACGGGGACCCTCCTGGGGACAGCGCTAACCGGCCGGGCTTAGCCCAGTGCATGAGCATCAGGGAGAGCAGAGGGGCTGTTGAGCACGAGGCAATCGCTAGCTGTCTGGATGGGCTTAACACGATATAAACTGCATGCACATGCAGCGAGTTAAAGCTTGCAGGGTGAGCCTGCAGCTCCAGGGCACGCGGCGGGGACAGGAGCTGAGGTGAGGATGTTCGGGTTCAGCGCTGCTCAGAGCCTGGCTGCAGCAGTGTCCGTGCACCAGCCTTTTCCTCTGGGCACAACAGCATCTGCTAAGCGTCGGAGCCTGCAGGATGGTTGTGTTGCTTTTCCCTTCCTGCTACTTTGTCACAATCTGTTTTTCCATAACAGGATTTCAGAATGGAACAAAAACATACAGAAACGAGCCTGGGAACAGCGATGACCCCAGCTAGTGCAAACATACATTTCTACTTACGCAATTTATTTCTTTGTTCTCTGCTAAAAAAGCACCCTGCAAAAACTCCCATCCCTAAATTCCTCCTCTTGCTCCCACCAGACTGTGCCAGGTGTTTGGAGGAGGCTGGGCGAGGAAACCCAAGCTGTCTGCGTGCGTTTTCCTGAGCCGGGAGCGCTGGTAGAGGCAGAGGCGGTGCGGGTTTGGTCTGCCTGCGTTCTGAATGCCCTTCTCAAACCCTTGGGTCGAAAATTTGGCTGGAAAAAAAAAATACCAGTATTCTCTGTGGAGGCTGGGGAGAATCTGTCCAGAAACTCTGAGGAAAACGAGTAAAATGGTATTTTGGTTTTAATTCATGGCCTTGGGACTGCACCTTTGACCAGTACGTATCTTGCCAAAGAGTGCGACAGTGCCCACAGCCTTCCTGATTCCTTTTCCTTTAGTTTGAGAGGTAATTAAACAGGGTAAAAGTAATTAAGTACTGGCTCTCTTTGCAAGAGTAGAGAGTTGAGACCAAACTTGCTTCTTTGAAAATAAACAGAAGTTCATTTTTTTGTTGCAAATTCTTTTTGTGTACTGACTTTCCATGATCAGTGACAGGGAATGGTCTGCCTGGGTGAGTAATGACTGCGCTCAGGCACCTCTGGATTGCAACTGGGTGTGCTTTGGAAGCTGGAAGTGTTCTTGGAGATGGACGCCTGGGCCCGAGGCTGCAGCCGTGCTCTCCGCAGAGCAAACACCTCCAGCCCGAATAGCTCACACTGCGAACTCCTCACAGCTGTGCCTGTACAGTCTTTGCCTCCTTCCTTTGTCCTGTGTTTAAGGTGTGATTTTAATGCATGACCAACTGGAAACTGCACTACATCCTTTGAACGGGCTGACTCCTGCTCTCCGGTGCCCGCACGCTGCCCAGGACGGGCACCTCGGGGGCTGCTGCCTTTCTCTCCAGGTGCTGCCAGCAGAGCTGCCTGTGCCACCGTCTGCCCACGCTGCTGTGCCCGGGATGCTCTGCTGGCCGGGCTCAGCACCACCGGCCCCCCTCACTGCTGTCCCTCTGTCTTTATTCCCCGTTTATTCCCTTTATGCCATCAGCCGTCAGCGCAGGCAGCAAACAGCCCAGGCGCACCCCAGCACAGGCTGTGGCTGGGACGGGTTTGGCACCGAGTTAAGTCATAAAGGATAAATGCGCTTTATAGCCACATTCAGGATGTAGCTGTAATGGCTAAATAAAAACATACCCAAAGCCATGGAAGCTGTCAGCCGAGGCCCAAGGGAACCGTGCTGCTGTACAAGCGAACTGTGGGTACTGCAAATCACTGCGCAGAACGAGGGGAAGGGACTGAACTAAGGGGGTGCAGAAAGAGGGGGGCGAGTGGTGAGAGTGCTGCTGAGGAACGTTTACGACACGTTTAAATCAGCACTGAGGGGTTCCTGCAGTCACCATGAGCACTGTTCCCTCTGTCCCGCTGTGTCCCCAGGTGGGGAGGGCTGGGCAGTGCCAGAACCAGCTGCAGAGCTGGGGGGGCTTATGGACACGGGGCTGGGACAGGGGAGAGGTGCTGGGAACAGCAGGCGATGGGGAGGTTTCCACCCTTACGTTCTCCCCAGCTCATCCACAAGTTTGTCACCAGGGTGGGTCCCTGTGTGGCCCCGCTGTGGGGCAGCTGCATGGGAAGTCCTGGAGGCCCCGTGCCCAAAATTTCTTGGCTGCTGCTCCTCGTGCACGGATGCTGCAGGCTCCTCGTGCGGGCCGGCTCCTCGCCTCACGTGTCCGGGACAGAGGAAGTGAGGAAGGAGCCTGCTGCCAGCAGCCTCTGTGGACCCAAGATGTTTCCCTAATAACATCCAGATGGATCCACAGAAATCGTTCGCATCTCAGAAGAAAAAAAAAAAAAAAAAAAAAGCACGTCAGCTGCAGGATAAATGAGATTCGGATGGTTGAGGCAGGGCAGCCTGGAGGAGAAGCCCGCTGCCAGGACCACGGGTATGTCTGAGACACAAAACCAGCGGCGGGAGCACCCGGGGATGGGGCTGCACAGCCTGGTAGCAGCCTCCTGCCCTGCAGTGCTCAACGGAGCCCCTTCCTCCAGGGTCAGCCCAGAGCTCACTGACTGGCTCTGAACCCAGCAGCACCTTTTCTTTGCGAGGTGGGCTGCAGAGGCCAGCTCTTCCTGCACATCTGGTGGCAGGTGCCATCCTCCTTCCCAGCCCCTTTGCCAGGGGGAGGAAATCAGTGCTGGAAAAATGGGGAGGGGGCACTCTGCAGCGAAACGACAGCTTTGGGGTGCTGGGGAGTGCTTTGTGCTTGTCACAAGCGTTCCCACAGCTCGGGGCCTGTGGCTGTGCCCTCGGAGCAGGGCTGTCCCCTCGTGGAGGGGACACTGGGGACACTGCACGCTGGGGGTGATGAATGCACAGCAGCTCCGGAAACGGGGCCGGGGAGGATGTGAGAGGCAGAGGATTCACATCCCGGAAACTCCGCGGTGTAACAGCTCGGGAATTCGGCGTGATAAATGTATTTGTCTGTGCTGGTGCAGGCAATGCGCTTAATGTGGGAAGCAGAGTTTCCTGCAGCACCAAGTCAGCAGGGAAGGGAAAACCCTGAGAGCCAGGAAGGGCCTTGGGGAGGCGAAGCAGGTATGGGGACCGTGGCAGTGCTGCAGGTTTGCAGGATCTTGCTCCAGCTCCAGCAAATTCCCCCCCCTCTTCCTAATGTGACCCTCACCACGGACATTGGTCCTGTTTAAACAACTGACTGGCACTGCCTCAGATCCCCAGTGGGGGTTTGGGGTGGGTATGGTGGGGGACGATGCTGGGGACGATGCTGGGGACAGTGTCCCGTGGCTCCCCGCAGCCCCTGCCCACAGGGGGAGGCTGCTGGTGGCACAGCGGGTGCTGCAGCCCCGGCCCCGGCCGCCCACCGCCGAGCTGTGTGTGTCCTCCGGCAGCCTCTCCAAAATGCCAACCGCAGCAAAGCGGCGGAAACCCAAAACCTTCCTTTTGCTCCGATTCCCAGCAGTTCCCGGAGCTTAATCACGGATCATTTCAGGCTCTGCTTGCTTTGCCTTTTCGGGCCGGGGCTGTCCCCTGGGCCAAGCACCCCCTGGGAGCCCCGAGCCCCCCCCGCTCCCCGTCCCATCTCCGGGGGTCCCGGTGCGCCCCGAGCCCCCCCGCGGTGCCCCCGCCGCAGCCGCGCCCCCGCAGCTCCCCCTGCCGGCCTCGGACCGGGAGCGCACGGCTGGGAGGGGGGGTCCGGCAGAGGGGGCTCCTGGCACCTTGTGGGTTTTTTTTAGGGTCAGTCCGCCCCAGCACAGCGCTGCCCGACAGCCCGGAGCCAGCCGGCCCCGGTCCTGTTGGGAACGGCCGGGGGGCAGCAGGTGCCCGGCCCTCGCCGCCAGGATTTGGGGTTTTGACCCCAATTGCATCCCCCAGAGCATCAGCACACGCTGCCAGGCTGTTTCCAGGGGCTGTGTGGGTGGGGGGGTTTATGGCACACAGCAGCCTTCTGCCACCCCCAGTCCCTGCACCCTGGGTCCCACACTGCAGTGCAAGGAAGGCAGCGCCTCAGCTGTCAAAAAAGTCCCTTCTGCAGGGAAAAACGTCCCCAAGGGCACAGGGACCAGTAAGGGCTGAGCTGGCACCTCCTCGCGTGTAAAGGCAGCTCCGTTGGACAGAAGGACCGGGCAGTCCGTCTGTCCCCAGGGTGCTGCCACCCCCTAGCGTACCTTGCAGCGAAGCCCCGCGGAGCCGCCCGGCCCTTCCCAGCGTTTTACCTTTCATGGGCATTTCCATGTCATCCCCGGGGAACATATGGGAGCCATTAGACCCGGATTTACATTCTTTCCTAACAAATGGCAGCATGTCAGAGGGTTGTTTATTTAATGTAAAGTGTGATATTTTTAAAAAATGGCTTCAGCCCTTCCAGCGCAATAGTTTGTGTGACTTTTCATGCCCTTCCTGGTGCAGGATAAACATTTAACAGGAACAAGCAGCCGGGTTTTAAATCTCGGCAGAGGACTCCCGAGCCAAACAAAAGCCGGGAGCGCCCAAGATTTAGAGCTCTGCGGCTTGGTGCTGTGCGTGGCTGACGGCGCGCTGGCCGAGCTCGCAGGCTGCCGAGCTTTCCGTGGATTTGCAGACCTGGCCGGGGCCAAGCTGCTGCACCAAGCAGCCCCGCAGAGCAGGAGCAGAGGGGGCTGTGGGATTCCCCTGCACTGCACCTGCCCTGCGCTGCCTCCTCCCATGCTGCAGGATGCTGGAAGAAGCCTCGACGTGGGATCATCATCGTGCTGGATCACCGTGCTGGATTGTCATGCTGGTGAGCTGCTGCCGTGGTGGCCAAGGGGTGGCACCAGCGGTGGCCCCGTGCCGCACGCCTGCCCTCTCTGCGCGTGCTGGGGAAGAGCTTCAAGCATAAGGACGCTATGACATCCTACAAGTCTTTTTTGTTTCCCCCCTCACCTCTCACCCTAAGGACAAAACTCTCCAGGCTGAGTGTGGTTTCTCTGGGTAACGTCATCCTTACTTGTTCATCTGTCTGAAGCAATTACTGTGGCTTCCTTAGGGATTATTTTTCAGACAAAGTGTTGACATTTTCCCCCAGTTGGGCGTCAAGTGCGTATCTGAGGTGGTAATTTCTGAGCGTAGAAGTCTAATGAGAGGAATGCCCTGCGGTTAATGAGGTGTTGGAAGGCAGCACAGCTAAATCCAGTATTGCATTTTCCAACTTTCCAGTTTAATTAGAAACCCGGATCTCCTGTTCATGCACTCACTCATTTCTTTGGTTGAGTGACAGCCCAGCATTTCACGGGGAAAATTATCACAATATTTAAGCAAGCTGTTGATGTTGCTTGCTGTCCACATCGCTCCATCTTGTTCCAGCTTGAATCTTTGTGTCTGCCATTGCAAACATCGTCTGCAGCATTTCCCAAGCGCTGGCAGTGCCTGGGGCAGGGCAGGTGGCCGGGCCCTTCTCTTGTCCCTGCTCCTCCTGCGGCTCATCGGCCTAAAGCCGGGATTTTGGCAGATATTGGGTCATTGCTGGGTACTGCTAAGCACCGCTTTAAATGTCTGGCTTCCTGTCTCTTATCCCCTGACATTAAGGAATAGCAAGTTTGTAGGGGCAGTGAGAGGAGAGACCGCAGGGCTCAGCCTGGTGGGGAGCTGTGGCACTGTCCCCAAAGTGGCACTGCTGCAGGACCCACAGTGCCACCAGGATTCAGAAGGGTGCCTTTCACCTCCCTGCCCAGGTAATTAAGAACCTGTGCGGGTTTGTGGTGGTGGCACAGCTGGGAAATTGTTAGTTGTTAGCCTTTGGTGATGGGGTTGGGTGCACCTGCTATGAGTTAGGGTGCATGTGCTGGGATGTATAAAATAAGGGAGCAACATAGCCCCAGGTATTTGCCAGTGTAGGGGTGGCCACCTTGCCTTCCTGTGGCACCAGAATATTGATAAAACCCCAAGTTATGTTACTGTCCCATTGAATTTTTTTGGGGGTGGGAGGGAAAGGTGCTTGTGCTGAGTAGAATTTTACAAGTATTATTTTCTTCTTCCTTTTAATTAAAATGTTTTCATTGCTGCATACAGCAAAAACATGCATTTTTGGCTGTTGGGGATTTTAAGTGAAAGCTGCAAAGTGCTACCTGTAGTCCTTCAAGCTTTCAGTGTGCAGCTGACCTTCCCTGTGGGCATCTGCGTGGAGGCTTTGCTGCCTGAATGTGACCCTCCAGGGAGAGCAGGAATCCCCAGGTGAGCTGGTGCCCTCGTGGTCCTGCAGGCGTGGGGCACTGGAGGGATGTGGAAGGGACACATGGGGAGGGTGCTGGTGCTGTTCCCACGGTGCTGTCCCCACCACGCTCCCCCTTCCCATGGCTGCGTGCTGGGAGGGCAGGTGGGGGCGATGCCATCAGCCTGGGGGAGGCTTCAGAGCCAGCGAGTGCAGAGCTTCAGGAGTGCGGTAATTAGCAGAGCAATGCCAGAGAGCAGTAATTAGCGGCTAATTACTGCTGCAGAAATATGTGACCCGCAGCGCCTGTTGTCTCCACCTCCCACGTGGAGCTGGCTTGCCAGGCTGTGCCAGGAGAGGGCAGCGCCTTCCCCACATCCCGGGGGCCTGGGGAATGGAAGAACAAGTGTAGCCTGTTCAGTATTTCATATCAAACTTTATTACTCTGCCACTGTACCAGTACATCATATTTACAGCTTGAAACTTCCATCTCTGACGGAGAGGGCTGACCTGAAGTTGGGCCCCAGCCCATTGCCCTGCCGTGGATGCCAGCAGCCTGCCCCGTAGCATTGCAGCACGGTGGCTTCACTGTGACATGTGCAGGGCTCCCCACAGCTCCCTGCCCCTCATCCTTGCTCGGTTCAGTCTGTTCAGTGCCCAGCCACGTCTGTGTGGCGTGCCAGGGAACACGGGCTGCACCCCTAAACTCACCGAGGGGCCCCGGTGCCTTTTCCACAGAGCCCCCAAATCAGGCTTTGGTCACTCCCACTCTGCTCTGTCCCCTCCAGGATAACATCAGGGTGTTGGTGCCACTTCTGGACAGGTTGTGTAAGAGACAGGTTTACTTAATAAATAAATATGAGTAACATATGGCTGATATTAGCATGAAATCTAGCAATATTCGAGGTGGAAGGAAGGCTAAGATGTCGAGGACTCGGAGCTTTTGGCTGCTGTTAGTTTAGCTTAGCACGATGATATCTGCAGGCCTTTCACCAGGCGTTGACTCGATGGCATGAATAACGGTGCTTTTTGGAATGGCTCAGAGGGTGTTCTAGCAGCGACGTGCTGGGATGGATAAATACTTGAGCACAGAGCACCCAGAGAGGTGCTGGGCCGGGAAGGTGCATGTCCCTGGTGCCCGGCTGTCCCAGGGTGCATCCTCAGCCCCATGGGGTGAGGCCGAGGTGCCGGGGGTTCTCCGGTTCTCCACCACCTCTGTGAAGCATCGTGTGGGGCTGGGTAGCTCTGCTTTGGTTTTGTTGAAGCCTTTACCTAAAGCTGGGAGCGCTAACGCTTGGTTGGCTCTGCCAGACCAGCCAAAGAGGGGCAGCGAGAGGGAGGGTGTGGCACAGGGGGGGGCTCAGGTGGGGGTCGTGGTGGGGGCTCAGTCGGCCGACACGGGCAGCGGGAGGAAGAGGATCGCCTTCTGCCCGTAGTGAGTCCGTGGTCCCAGCTTGCTGTTCCCGTTCTTCTTCAGACCGACGAACCAGTTCTTATCGGCGTGCTTCTTGGAGACGTAGGTGTTGTAATGGTTCTCCTCGAGCCGCTCCAGGAACAGGCACTCCTCGCCCAGTAGCTGCTGGAAGAGAGCCGCGCGTGGCAGCAGTGAGCCCCTGCCCCGTCTCTGTGCCCTGCCAAGGTGATGGGAAGCGTGCAGGTCTGTGGCCTTGATTTATCTCCCTGGCCTGGGGGCCCTGTCCCTAACCCAGGCATTTCATTTGGCAATGTCTGAACCGAGCACCACTCTCCGTAAGCTGGTGCTGGTGATTGGTGCTGGCTGTGGGTTTAGGGGCCGAGCACAGGGAACAAAGCAGCTCTCTGGCGAGGCTAAGAAGCCTGCTGACAGGATTACATGACACCCACTTAGCTATAAATGGGACTATTCCCAAAGACACGGATTATTTTTGGTGACACCGTGTCCTATGGCTCCTGGGCACAGGAGCTCCTTCCCCACAGCATCCTGCCTGTGCCGGCACTGTCACCACCTGGTGCGGGGCTGGAGAACTGGGGATGCAGAGGGAAAACCCAGGCAGGTTTCTGCTTCCCCCCAGCCCTGTTGGCAGCCTGCAGCCCCCTCGCAGAGCCGTGGAGCTGGCACAGCTCGGGGTCTGTGGGGGTCCTGCTCCTGGAGCCAGCAGCTGCCGAGCTGGTAGGGAGCAGCTGCTGCTCCGGGCACGACTCGTGGTGTTTGCCAGGTGCTCGAGGCAGGCTGCAAATGGTGCTATTGGGTTATTTGTTTGTTCCTCCCGCCCCCCAAAATAAAGCTGGACGGAGAGTGGCCGTCCAGCTGCCAAAATAACAAACAGAGGCTAATTGTTGCTTGCGGTTTGCATTACTCAGAGCTACGAGATTTCTGCAGACCTCAAAACCTCTCGGTGCCCGGTCCCACAGGAGCCTCGTGCTTACCGAGCCGTACAAGAGCCCGTTGGTGTCCATTGCCAGGTACTGCCCAGACTTGGTGCTCTTTATATAAACCTCACCCACGCTTTCCGCGCTGAGCTGGAGCTGAACTGAAAGTAAAAATAAAACAACAACAAAAATAAGAGGAAAATAAAAACGGGGGGAGAAAAGTGAGAGATAATGTCTAAGCTGCTAGGGAAGTTAGCAGGGTATTTTGGTGCTGAAGCTTGGGTTATAAAGAGTTTATAAGGAACAGTACAGAGCGTAATGAAAACATCTCCCTGTGCCCTCCCCTTCAAAGAAACCCCATAGCCATGTTTTAGGAACCAAAGACCAATTTTTTCCTTATTTTACATCAAAGCAAGGGCAGCCTTTTGGTTAAGACGCTGGAATGGGACACAGGAGATTGGGGTTTTAATTCTGGCTCTAATTTACCAATTTCTCATGTGGTTTTGACAAGACACTTGAGGAGTGACACACGAAGAAGTATTTTGAGAGCTAAACCGGGGACAGGCAGACTTCAGATGTCGGCGTTTCGAAAACTGTGCCCCAAAGCATCCTGTCGGAGGCTGCCTTACCGGGGCTGCTGGGCGCAGTGGGGGAGCTGGGGAGCTCCAGCAAGCTGCAGAGGGGCAGCAAGCGCTGCCCTTCATCCTGGAGAACAACACGGGCATCCTGCGGATGTCCAGGAGCTGTGCCCGGTATCACTGCAGCTGAAGTGAGCAGGAGGCAAGACTTTGATGGTGACTGGGATCTGGGCCTGCCGGTGCAGAGCATTGGGCTGCAGCACAGCCCATGGTGTCAGGCACCCTGAGCAGTGCTGGGCTTGGGCTCCCAACGCCAAAGCAAAAAAAAAAAAAACAAAAAAAACAAAAAAAAACAACCAAACTCCTTGTTGGCCTCCTGTTGTGGGAGATGAGCTGGGTCAGCGGCAGGCCGAGTGTCTGCTGCCACCTCCCTCCCCAGCCCGTTTAGCCTTCCCCTTTGTGCGGTTACTTATTTTACCCCCGTGGGTTTCTTTCTTCCTTCCTTAGCTAATTACAGTGATTACAGCTTGGCTCTAGCTGTTGATCAATGGATTTGTCAGAAGAGAAGGGCAGAGGCAGTGAGGGTGCAGCCCGGGGGTGGTTCTCCTGCACGTGGTTCCAGCAGCGCACACATCACCACCATGGGCACACGCTGAGCGGCTGCATCGGCACCTGCGGGGGCTGTGGGTGCGCTTGGGGTGTCGTGCAAAACCCCAGCTCTTCCAAAATACTGCTCCCATCTCCAAGTCAGCTCTTTCTTCTGATCTTTTCCTGTAGAGATTTGTAACAGAAATGTTGGGGTTGGTTTGAGTGAAGTGTGAGCAGCCTCCTTCACTCCAGCTCCTTCCTCCTTTTTTATTTCTTTTTTTTAAATTTACTTTATTTAATCCTTCCTGGAACAGCATGCAGTGTGACCTCTCGGTGTGGCAGAAGCAGGTCCCAGGGAAATCTTTACTGTGACGGGTCCATTCCTCGCTTTTGGTGCTCCCTGCTCAGCCGCAGGGGTTTGGTGGGGGCACAGCGGGGCTGCAGCCCCCAGCCTGCCTGGTGATCCCCCGGTGCTGCCTCCCACCCGCCTGGCCAGGGAAGGGGCGGTGGGCCCAGAGCCATGGAGCTGCCCCCAAAACTGGCCAGGGGAGGGTGCATCAGTTCTTGCAGGTCTTTTCACGTCTCTGTGTGGAGATTTCCATCCGTGAAGTAATTCTATGAAGTAGAGAAGATGAGGCTGGTTTTGGGAATGTGTTGGATTTCGTCCTCAAGAGCCAAAAATGCTCTGGTAAGGTTCCTTTTCATTTCATGGTGAAGGTTCGGGATGCACAAGTGCTGCAGCAAAGGACCAGGGAAGGAATCGGCACGTAGGGCTGGGTGCTGAGGGCCCAGGACGAGTGGCTTTTATTTTCCCATTAGATATCCTCCTTGAGCAAGCAGCATCCCATGGAGGCCAGCATCCTGCTCTGCTCCTGGTACACCCCGGGGCACTGTGACCAGGAGCAGTGTTGGTGCCTGCAGCACGCAGGCAGGGACCCCGGAGCGCGCGGTGTTTGGTGCCCAGAGGCGCACCTCCTGCTGGCACGCCGCCCTGCACGGAGTTTCCTCTGTAAATATTTGCACGGTCGGATATCCACGTTTATGGGATCGTTTGCAGGAGGTTCCCTGCTGGCACAGGTTCCCAAACACACGGCCAGGACGGCAGCTGGCGAGGTGCGAGCGTGCCGGGGCTGGCACTGGTGGCCAGAGGGGAGATGCTTGCTGCGGGGGCAGCCCCAGGGAGGGGGCACTGGGCTCAGGGCCAGGGTGCTGAGCTCTCCCTAATGCTGCCAAGGGTGCTGCGAAGGGCAGGGGAACGACATTTGTACTTGAAACTCTGCACAAACTGCCTCTTCTTGAAAGGAACATGAGGAAAGGTTGACTTTGGGGGAGAAAGCCACGTGGACGCTTGTGGTTTAAAGAAAAAAAAAATGCTGTTCTTAGAATTTGTAAGGCTAATTGGGCTCCTCCCAGCGCTCCTTTCTAACCAAACAGGAGCCTGGCAGATCCCAGCTATGTTCCCGTAAGCACCAGGGTACGGTGTACACAGGCTGCGGGAAGGTTGCTGCGGAGCACGGTGAGCAGAGAGGGGCAGGATCCGGCCCCAGCCCTAACCCTTGTGCCCCAGGAGCTGCTCTGCCTGCCCTGCTCTCTTGGGTGCAGTTTCCCAAATCCTCTCAAGCACTTTGAAAGTGCAGTGGGGGCAGGGGGCTCTGTGTCGGGCCAGGCAGGCAGCTCTCTGGTGGCTTGGCACAGCCTGGGCAAAGCCGGAGAGCTCAGCACCTCGGCCATGGGCTTGGCTTTGGCAGCGTGAGCTGTTGGCAGGGAGAGGGAAGGAGCTGTCGGTGCCCTGGGGAACTTCTGGAAAGGGCAGACAGCACCTTTCCTTGCCGTCCCCGCATTTTTAAAACTGAGAGTCACAAAATAACTTTTTTTGGCTGATTCTTGCTTCTGTTGGACTTGCGTATCCCACAGGAATTTAATTTACTGCATTAGGGGAAAGGGAAGGTACCGAGGGCAAGAAGACACCATGTGCACCTCACAGATAAAATGCGTGCTGCCTGCGAAAGGGTCCTGTGTGCAGGGAGCAGGGTGGGGGTGCTGCCAGCAGGCACCGCATGCATGTGGTGCCAGCACCAAACCCTCCAGCCAAGGGACAGCACCGGGGGACATCGAGTCAGCTGTGATGACTGTGGCCATACGCAGCATGTGCAGCTCCTCCTCAACCCCTTTTTTCCAGCTGCCAGCTTGCTCATAAGCAGCCAAGCTGCAATTACCACCCCAGTTGTGCCCCGGGTGCTCTGCCCACCCGTGATCCCAGTAAGGACCAGTCAGCCTCGTGGCTGCCCCGCTCCCAGCTGCGTGCTGGGATGCTTCCTAGGGAAAAAGGTAGCCAAGACAGCGCCAGGCACAGGAGCAAGCAGGAGAGCCGAGCAGCCACGCTGTGTGTGCTTACTGTGCTGGTCGCTTCGGTCCCGCGTCCCGTCCACCTTGCCGTCGGGAAGGATCCGTAGGAAGTGGCCCCCGTTGCTGCAGTACAGGAGCTTGGGCTTCTTGTAGTTCCCCGGGGGCAGGTTGAACTTCTCGGTCAGGGCGGTGAACGTGGTGATCTCCCCCTCGGCCATGCCTCAGCCTCTGCCGGCGGCTGGTGCCCAGGCTGCAAGAGACGGGGAGGTGAGAGCGGGCACGGCGAGCTGCCCCGCACGGTGCCAAGCTTATAAAGGGGCAGGCAGGGAGGGGGCCGGGGCAGGTGATTCACGTGGTGGTGGCGGTGACACAGCCCTCGGGGTGATGCTCCCCGCAGTGGGAGGGCTGGTGGTCGTCTGCTCATCGGCGGCAGGGCCGGGGGCCTTTTAATTGTGTCGCAGCGAGTGCTGTTTTCTTTCTGCTTGCTATTGACGTACGCACTAAAATTACACACTCGAGAAAAAGGCTGAAAACACCCAGTGTCTGATTGGAGCCCGCGGGAGGCAGGAAGCCCAGGCTAATAACTCTCGCCACTATTATACCTCAGTCATGATTATGGCTGGGACTGCACGCAGGCTGCTAGATAAGCAAACTTTTTTCTTCCTGTCTTGGCGTTGTGTACCTCACCTGGCTGAGGCACAGCCGTGCTTAGAGCCAGACCAAAATGTCGATGTTGTGGGTGATAAACGAGGGCACAGGAGGATTTCATTGCCTGGGCAGTGAGCGGGAGGTACACCCACACAAATGTGGGTGATCAAATGCATGTGAAAAAAATGAACTTTGAGGATATAATGAGCTTATATCATGCTGGTGCACCCTTGTATCCCAACTGAAACAAAGTCCGGTGCCTGGCCTAGAAACTGTGTTTAAAATCTGCCTCGAATAGGCTGACCCTCATGTGCAACAGTGCCTAGTGCTTATAGAGAAGTGGATTTATGAACAGAAAAAGACAGGGCAGAGGATAAACCTAGAGAGAGGAAATGACTTTAAATGCTACTTATTCCCATAGCTATATATGGGAATCGTTATATGCTCACTGTTTTTGTGTATTTATGTTGCATACAGATTGTGAAAGCATCTATTTGGCACGGCGTTGTGTTACTGTAGAATTAGGGTTGAGCTGGTATCACAGTGTGTGTTTCCCAGTGACCTGGGAGATAACTGGGAGTGTAACCCATGGCAGTACACAGACACTGAGAAACGGATGGCTCTGTGTGTGTGCATAACCCCCAAACGTTTGGCTGTAAGCTCCTAACTATTTAACTTTGCAAATGCAGCTGCAAGGAGGGGAAACTGTGCCTCCAAGTGGATCCCCAAAGTCTGCAGGAGATAAAAAATAAATAAAAAAAATAAATAAAATAAATAAAATATGTGAAACTGCCCATTTCTTTTAAAGTTTTGGGAACTAAAAACTAAAACCTTGGAAATAAAGACTTTGTTGCTGTTGTTAAAAACACGCCCTGCCATTTCCACCGACTTTGGTTAGATCACGGACTCCATCCCTTTCTTTCAGATGCGTCCCTTTGGGGTCGCTATGAGAACAGCGAGATTTCCTAGGAGGGGAGAACAGCCGTGAAGGAAGAAGCGTTCTCTGTCATCCAAGGCCTGGATTCCTGCTGGCAGCGAGCAGTTCCCGACGGGCCCCTCTCCTCCTGGCCCGCGGTGCCGTGCTGCAGCTGGAGGGCTGAAGTCAGGGGGCCAGCAGGGTCAGGGCGTGGGGGCCCGGCCACGTATTATTTTAAACTTTTCCCCACTGCCCTTTCTGCAGGACTGCTCTGATCTTGTTTCAGGAGTCATGTTTTCTGGAACAATGCCTAGCGAGCCGTGCTTTATCAGGCGCGTTTCCCCAGCTCTTTGCTGATGTGCCCAGGGAGCTGTTTTGGTGCTTATCAGGTTCACAAAACCGGCTGCCGGCCAGCTCCACCCCGTATCGCGCATCTCCCCGAGGCTCAGTCCTGCTCTGCCCCTAATTGCGAAGCCAAAAGCATTAACCTTTCTCTGCAGAAGTCAGACCAAGTTTTATAACCATCTCTCATGGTTTCCTTGCTGCTTAAATGAACAAAAGCAGCGTCAGGCTCAGAGCTGGGACGTTCAGAGTGTGTGCGCTTGGAAGCAAAAGCCCCGGCTGTCCCATCTGACACAGCCTGGTATTTTTGGAAATGCTCACTGATGGTGATATAAGCTGCTAGCGAGGTGGCACGCTGAAGGTGCTAGCACTGATGCCCTGCACTGAGCTCAGTGAAGTGTCCCAGGGCTGCTCAGGAGGAGCTGGATGCATCCTGGTGGCCTCCCAGGGCAGCTGGTGGGCTCCCAAGGTACAGCTTTGACATCTTTTTTTGACACAGTTGTCAGGCAGCTGAAATTAGGTACCTCTGAGACCTTCTGCTCCCAGAACTTTTTTTTTTCTATTGAGAAATCATGATTTTCTTGTAGCAGTTCAGATTTAATACCGATAGCCTGCCATGCTTCCTCTGAATGAAAGCCTTCAAGTCATTCGATGTGGTAGATAAGGCTCCAGTGCTTTGCTGAGCATTAATCAAGATCAGTGGCATTGTGTAATTTACTGGAAATCCAGCTTTTCTTCAACCTTCCTCTGAAGGCGAAGGGCTCTCAGAAACCTCCTGGGCTGGCGGTGGAGAGAAGCGAGAAGCAAACCTCCCTCAGCCACGGGCTCGGAGCAGGAGCTCAGCAGCGCTGCGCCGCAGCCAACGTGGGTGAGGAGCAGACTGGTGCTTCCCTTGTTTACTGCCTGTCTGCACGGCTGAGTGCATCTATGGATAGCTTTAACAGAGCAGCCCTGCTGGAAATTTTCTTCATTTTCATGTATTTCCTTTAAGGTTTTTTGCTATTTTTAGAGCACCTTCAGTGCTCGCCAGCTGCCTTTGACTCCACAAGAGAAGCTGAATGAACACAATTTTCCACTCCCATTGTCTCTCCTCGCTAAATACTGTTGCTGTTCTCATACTTTTATGACCGTGTAGTTGGTACTCTATGCACAGTACCACTCCAGGCCCTACTATTATACTTCTGGCAAGAAAATTTTAGTTTTTTATGGGAATTTTGTGTAATCTGGCATCTGGATTTACCCATCTAATAGTAGCAGATGTCAAAACCTCCCAGGTCAGAAATGAGCTTTCTAGAGATAAAAAAGGACTTAAGAAGAGAGCTGAACCCGGAGGTTAATTCTGCCCATGTCCCACTGGCCTGCAGCCATGGGGCTTGGCCATGTGCGTGCTCCCTGTGGCACCGGGTGCGAGGCCCCAAGAGCTGGGAGATTCTGAGATGTTTGGGGTCAGTTCCAGGCTTTATCACTGGCTGCTGCAGCTGCCAAACAGAGGCTCTGATGTGAAATCCCAAACTCTGAAAGCATCCGAGTGAGTGCTGGGTGCTGGCCATGCTGCCAGCACCAGGCAAACTCCGTGTGAGCCCAGAAGCCAGCGGGTGCAGCGAGCAGGGGGCTCCTCGTCCTTCCCTGCTTTAAAATCAGGCCAAAAGGCACAGTTTTCCCCTTTGCTCCCTTTACAAAGCTGGTGCTGGTGAGAGGCTGGCAGCCCGCAGGACTGCTGTGACCCTTGGATTCACGGGGCGGCCAGGTAAGGTGAGCCTGTGCTGTATTCATCATAAAGCTCCCAGATGCTGCCCACAGGAACCCAGAAATGTCTCACGAACCTGGCTTTGAACAACTCAAATTCATTGAGGCTATTCTTGGCTTTGGATACGGTCCTTTTATAGGTCCGGGAGGAAATGTTCTGGATGGGCTCTGTTGAGCATCCCGTCAGAACAATCTGGAGGTGTCGGTGAGCGGTGCAGCTGATACCAGTTGTCACTGAGATGGTCGGATGAAGATCGTAGAGAAAGCTCCAAACAAAAGACAGCCACGCTCAGGATTTGTTAAGGGTTTTCTCAGGCTCCACATAATGAGATCAGTGTCCTCGGAATTAGGCCCTGGTGAGTTCAGTGGGAATGCTGCAATTGGTTTCACTCTGGAACATGTTATTTTCTCCATTAAAACAGAAATCAGATTTATCCCAGGGTGCCACCAGCCTCCTGTTGGGCTCATTTCCCAACCCCGCTTTTGGCTTCAGGCAGCTCTCTTCCCAGGAAATTTAGATAGGAAGTAGGAGAATGGTTGCAACAGGTAAAATATTTTAAATAATTTCGGCTCTGGCTTTCCTCCACGCATTGTCTGCCCCGGTGGATTCCTGAAGCACAGGGGCTGACAGATACGGCTTCGGGGAGCTGGCTGGGGTGATCCAAGAGCTGCCCGAGCCTGCTGAGGAAAAATTGCTCGGATGAAAAGGGATTTCATTCATTGCATAGAGATGCGCTGTGTGGGACGGGATTTCCTCACCCAGGAATAGCAGGCCGTGCGAGATGCAGGCAGGATCGGAGCTCAGCAAGAGTTTCCTACAGGTGGCTCCAGGACCCCGCAGCATGGTGGAGTCGGAGCTGGGCTGGGGCAGCCCAGGAGCCCCACTGGAGGTGCCAGGCATGGCTGTGATTCCTCGGATCCTCAGAGGAGGACTCAGTAAATGAGTAGGCAAAGCCTACGATAAATGTGTAGTAGGTGGTTGTGTGCAGATCAGCAGAAAGCATTGGCTTGTTTCTAGGCAGTGTTTGTGGTAGGAAGGTTTTATTTCTATTAGATGCTTAATGATGTATTTCTCAGTCAGGTTTTACCCTTTGTAAGTGGAATTTGTGCTCTAAAGTGTGACCAAAGCTGTAGGAATTGATTTAACTCCTGCCCACAGTCGTCATCTCCTGCTCTCCACCCTTGGCCCAGCAATGGGATGCCGTAAGGTCGGCCTCACCATGGCCGTGTCAGACCCTCCTGATGCTGTCTCAGCTCCCGTCCCCTCTTTGTTCCCAGCAGGGAGCCTTGGAGAAGCGTGCATGTCCCAGAGCTGTGCAGCCCCGAGGGAACGGCCTGTCAGAAGCTGAGCATTTCAGAGCCGTGTGTGATTGCTGCACTTCTCCGGGCTGGGACCTGCAGCACAACATCTCAGCAGAGCCGTGGCACCCGTGGGGAGACAGGAAAACAAAGTGAGGATCTGCTTTCTAATTACCTTCCAGCCTCTCCTGCCTCCCCACCCACACCCTTCTGCAATCTGGTGATTAACTTAATTACAGCCCCAGCTCCTGAAGCCGGTCCAGCCGGGGAGCAGGAGCCCTGCCAGGAGGGTCTCGCTCCCCGTGGCCAGGCTGGGCTTGGACCAAGCACATGGACACATCCATGAGCAGCGCTGGCTGCAGATGCAGCTCCCATGGCCTCGTGTGCGGGATTTAATCACCAAGCTCGCTGCTCGCCAGATGTGTGGGACCTGTGATGGAAAGAACACCCTGGGCAGAGCACAAGAGCTCAGTTTCTCCAGTGAAGGAGGGGGTGGGAGATGCGTAGCAAGGGGGCACCTTTCACCTCTGGGCTTTGCAGCCGGAGGCGATGCAGCTGCCTGGGGGCTGGGGGCGGTTGCTGCTCCTTCCTGCGCCGTGCTCCCTCCCCAGCAGGGGATCTGCTCCTGTCCGTGCTTTAAGGTGCTGTTTACAGCATTTATTATAAATTATAGAAGGTAATTAGTGCTGTGTGGATATTGAGGGTTTCCCCTTCCCTCTAGCAGAGGGCACGTGCTGCCTTATCCAGGTCCCCCCACAGGCTGGCACTGGCACCCACCCTCCTGCTCCTTTGCTTTCCTGCAGCGCTGCTCACACCGACCGAGAGGCACCCGCAGGTGGGACCGACTGCTAAACCACACCACGAGTCACCCGGCCTTGATTTGGGTGCCCGAGGACGAAGGCTCCGTGCTGCTGGGGCTGCTGATGCCCTGGGGATGGCGATGGGGGGAGTGGGTGCCCCTGTGCGCCCTGCTGGGGACCCGCTCCCCCAGCCCCGGCGGGCAGGGAGGTTAAGCTGGGTGACGCTTGCCGGGCTCACAAATGTCACCACCCGCCCCCGGTGTCCAGGCAGGACGCTGGGCAAAATGTCAGACCACAGAGCCGGGAGCTGTCTGGGCCCAGGTGTGGCTGCCCCGCGGCCGCTGGCTCCGGCCCCAGGCGCCCACAGGCGGACTGGATGGACAGACGGACGGACGGCAGCCAGCCACCGCCGCACCTGGCCCCGGGGCAGGCTTCTCGCGGCGTCTGGTTGTGCTCTGGTTGGGGCACTTTTACCCAGCTTTTCCCTGCCTCCCTCTGGGAGTGAGTAGATGCGGAGAGGAAAAGCGTGGCTGCCTGCAGCTGGGAGCCGGGCTGCTTTGCAGAGCAGCTCTGCCCAGAAAAACCATCAGCCGACCCCAAATGACAGATTCTAGACCCAAAATTTTACTCTACGCTGTGCTCTTACGCCACGGGGCTGATGTGGTTCTCCTGCTGGGCTAAGTCCCCGCTGACCCTGTGCTCCCTGCCAACGGCCCCGTTCCAGGCTGGTGCCTTGTCACTGCCCCTCTCCTTCGCCCTGCTATCAGCTGCGGGCCTGTGCCAAGCTCTCATCGCTGAGATGGGTCCAAAACGTCAGGGTGCTGTTGCTAATAAGGCACAAGGCTTGAATTAGGAGCAAAAAGCAGCAATTTGCATGTGTTGTCAGATGTAACACTTCCTTCAGCTGGCCCTCTGAAGAATAGCCAGGCTTAATCAAGGGTTGGCTCAGGCTTCAAAAACTGGGATTGGAGTTTGGGTTCGGGCTTTATACCGTGTCCTTCCCCCTAGACGAGGAGAATGCTGGAAGTGAGGGTTTCATCTCCAGGCCAAGTGAAACCTCACAGCCATACTCGTGGTTAACCATCAGTAGACATATCATCACTCAGAAGTCAGGCTTCCTCCAGCAGAGTCTCAGTCTCTGTTGTTCCAAGGAAAATCGCTTGGTTTCTGGGTTCGCTATGAGCTTAGCAGTGATTTACTGCCCTGAAAACGCGCAGGGAGTTAATTATGCTCATTCTAAAATATTTGTGTAAGGGCTATATGCTTGTCGTGTTACGGTCTGAGAAAAACTGCCCAGGAGGATTCTGTTCTTAATTCTGCTGCTTGATATCGTCCTCGAAATGCAGTGTCTGGTAGCTACGGGTGCCTGAGTAAACGGCCTGGGCTGTGTTTTGCCACACACACTGTTGCTCAATAACTTAACAGCACAACAAAAGCTTGAGATAAGAATTACAGGGAAAATCCACTGATAAATAATAATTTTCTTATCTGCGTTCCTCAGGGCTGGAGAAAATGCCTTGCAGTGTGAAACCGTGGTGCACGAGAACATGCAGGGGGAGTTTCAGATGAGATCTTTCTGTTGGAGCAAGGCAAGCTCAAAGCTGAATCTTTGTTAATTTGGGTGAGAGGCTCAGCCACAAAACAAACAAAAAAGCCCCACAGGATAGGTAATGGGGGGGATAACACCTCTCTATGCAGCTAGTGAGCCCGCTGTGTGTTCCATCTACGCTGCTGCCAGCAGAGCAAGGCAGGTCGCTTCTCTGGCACACGGTCTGAGGCCAAATTTGGGGTTTCTCAGCTCAGCCCCAGGGACCCCGAGCTGCCTGCGGGCGCCCCGCTGCCCCTCGGAGAGGAGCATGAGCTGCATGCTGCTGCTGCCAGCCCTAACCCCGGTCCTCCCATCCCCGACAGCAGCGTACCGAGGCACCTGCGCCTGCGAAGAGGTCGGCACCAAAGTGGTCCCCGTGAGACACCTGCAGTGACAGCGGAGCCACCGCGGGGTCCTGCTGGTCCCCAGAGACCTGGCCAGGGCTGCCGGTGGTGATGGGAGGTGGAGACACACGGATCTAAGTGAAAATGCCAGCAAATTAACTGAAAATGTACCCACTTGAGTAGCCTTATGTACAACATAAATGTAAGGATGTGCAGCTGTTAGAAAATTAACGAATGACTTCTCTGGGGGAAAAAAGTGAGTCTGTGAAAGGCAGGGCAGCTCTGGGCAGGTGGCAGAGCTTTGCACAGGGAGCTCTGGGAGCTTTGGAGACGTGCAGAGGGGACTCGATGGTCCCTTTCCTGCTTGGATGGCACAGGGGCTGCAGAAAGCCCCTGGAGCAGACGGCTGCTTGCGGGCAGAGTGGGGAGATGTGCAGAAAAGCAGCCCTGGCACTGAGCACCAGCAGCCGGCAGCATTTTCAGGGCGGTTTGTGGCTCGCAGGGTGCCCCCGGTACAGGCAAACAGCACAAGCCTGGAGTCCCCATCCCGGAGCACAGGCTGGGATTTGTTACGGTGAAGATCTCCCCCTCCTGTCCGCCCCGGCAGCACCGGGCTGAGAGCAGGGGGAAACCGGGCTCGGGGTGCCTGCCCTGGGGCTCTGTGCCCCAAACACCGCCCAGGAGGGTTTGGGGCCATCGGGGCCACCCGGAGCAGCCCGCGGTGGCCATGCCGGGGGGGTTGGCTCAGGGGCTGGGCGAGCTGCCCGAGCCCCGTGGGCTGGGGATGCTGCGGGGAGCCGAGGCTGTGTCTGTGCACCTGGCATGGAAATAACAGAAATTTTGGCAGAAGGAAGGGCCCTGTGAGGGTGAGTGCTCGGCCCGAGGTGGGAGCAGCGGTTTGCTAACGCCAGAGGCGTGGGAAGAAAAGCCCCAAGGTCAGGGCTGACGCCCAGATTTCTCCTCTTAGAGCTGGGATCTAAATTAGGAGCCAGAAGCGGGGACAAACGCTCTGAGCGCACCAAGGCCGTGAGTCACCGTGGCCCTGCGTCTAGACCATTGTGGGCAACCAGCGGGGCTTTGGGAGGGCGGCTGCGAGCTGGCAGCCCCGCGCCAGGAGGCTGGGGGACAGCCGGGGTCGGGACATGGCCCCGAGGGCTGGCACAGAGCCGAGGTGGGGGCTGCGGGGGTGGCAGAGCTCTGAGTACAGAGGTGCGTTGAGGTGCGGTGCTGGAGCTAAAGGAATAATACTGAGCACTGGCTGAGTTGGCTGTTCTTCAAAGGAAATCACAGATATTAACCGTGGTGCTCTGAGGGCTTGTGTTAGCCTCCATCTGCCACACTGAGCAGCCAGGAAAATGGAGTTATTTTGTTCCCCTGTTTTCCCTCAGGTGTGACATTTCAGCAGGTACAGAGGGGCTGGGGGCAGGCAGAGCCGTGCCAGCTGCAGGTCCTGGGCAGGGCCGCTCTGCTCCCTGCTGCCCGGGAACTGCTGCAGCCTCTGCTCCCGTCTGCGACAGCAGCATTCAAATAAAATAATCTGGTGCTGGATGCGAGGCAAAAAATAGTAAGTGCTCTTACTGAGAACTACTGAGTCAGGCGTCTCTCTCGTTTAACAAATGGAAGCGGAAGGGAGGATTATTGCGTCTATTCAGGCCACACAACGGGCTGGGGCTGAGAGCATGACAAAGCAGCAGCTCCTCTCCCTCCCTCTCCCTCTCTCGCTGAACTGGTTTTCAACAAATTCTTCTGCAGAGAGATTTCTATTGTGAGCCGCTTAAAAAGCAAACCCGGCCAGGCCGCCAGCCCGAACGGTAATCATCGGCTTGCAGTTGCACAAAATGAATGGCAGATTTCTAAAAGCACCACGGCCGGCAATCAGAGCGAGCTGTGTCACGCAGCCCAGCCGCCCGTGTCACCGGGGGGCTGTGTGACACGGTGCCAGCGCTGCCCTTCCCCAGGTACCCAAACCCTGGGCTGCCCCGAATTTCTGCTGGCAGCCTGCTCGTGGCACCTAGCAGGGCTTCCCCTGCCTCTTCCTTAATCTATGAGCTGCGGGGGGGCTGCGCCCCTCTCTAGTGGGTGAGCCCCCACCTTGGCTGTGACATCCTGCTTGTGCTTGGTGGTGCTGGGGCCGGCTCTGCCTGCTGAGATCTCACTGGGGCTGCTGCTGGCTTTGGTCTGCCCCGTGGTTAATGACCACATTCTGGGCAGACCCGTGGTTAATGACTGCATTTTGGGTTGACCTGTGGTTAATGACCACCTTTCTTCACCATTCCTCGCAACCTCTTATTTCTGAGCCCTAATTCAGCGAGGAATGCATTCATCTCATCCCAGCTCCTGTGATTCTGGGGGTTATGAAATTAAGGATGATTAAAGGGGGGGGTTAACACAACAGGCAAGCATACTTGGCATTTCTGCGGCTGGCGCCCTGGAGGCTCTGGGGAGGAAGGTGCTGCTCTCACAGCGGGTGAGGCCAGACCAAGGCAGCCCCAGCCGAACTTCCAGAGGTCTCTGTGCAGTTACGGGGCGGGTGTTTAACCACTGCAGGGCTCCAGCACCCTGCTCCGATAGGAATTACCCCAGAGCTGCAGGGATGTTGGGGGCCAGGGCAGCACAGCCGCGTGCACTGCGCCCTGACACTGCACCAGGCTCAGGGCAGTGGCCTCCTCTGATCGTCTCATTTATTTCCTGCCAGGGAGAAGCCAAAATCTAACAGCAGTTTCTGCAATATCTGTAAGTTCCCCTGCCGGGTGGGGAGCCAGGGCTCCAGCACCGACCGTGGCACCAGGTGGCTGCTGGTGGCGTTTGGTGCTGCACGGGGAGCAGGGTGCCCACGAGGAGGACGCAGCCCTGCGAGGGCAGAGCCTGGGATGCGCAGGCAGCAGGAGATGGGAACCGACTCAACCCCCAGCCAGCAATTATTGCACCATTAAAGTGAAAATTGGTGATTGCCTCCTCACTGAAAAGTTACAACTTTCTTTAATTAGTCCCCTAAAGCGAGGCTTATTTCCTGTTGAAATGTGTGTGTTTGTGGTTCAGGATTGCAATGGCTCTTAAAAATCCTTTTTCATGCCTCCTCCCACGTGCTGTTGCTCATGCAAATATGGGCATGCTGCGAAACGGATGGGGCCATTTGCGGTTTGGTTGGGTTCCTGCACTAATTAAGGGCCTCATCCAGCCCCTAGGAGCTGCTGAAAACTGCACGGAGCTGAGAGGAGATTGATTGCTGCAGGAAACTGGGAGTGGCGCTTCTAAAATGACCCCGGGAATTTTCCTTGTGACGGGAATTTTCCTCATTCCCTGCGAGCACAGAGTGAAAAACCCAGGCATGCCGAGCACCTGCAGGCACCTGCTGGGCTGCAGGGAGCAGCGGGAGCTGAGGACAGGGGCAGGGCTGGCGGTCACACACCTGGGGACCTGCACCGAGCCCCGGCCAGCCCCGGGCAGGGTCTGCCCTACAGCCAGGGGTGGGCACTGCTCCTGCCTTGGCATCGCACGGCTGCAGGGCAGCCACACTGTCTGTGTCACAGCTCTTCTAGGCAGAAAATGCCCATCTTTGTTACAAAGGAAAGAAAAGGGCCTTTCTGGCTGCTAAGCTGTTTTTCTATTTATTTATTTATTTTCTGGCTTGGTGTCAGAAGAGAAAACAAACATTTAGCAGGGTCTGACTGTGGTCTGCTCTATCAGCGCGCTGTCAGAAGCACGCTGAAATAAGAGGAGGCAGACTGAAACGAGCCTGCCGTGGTTAATGTCATCATGGACCCTGTCACTTAGCCCTGACTCCTCGCCGTTACGATGCTTTGAGCTGCTCACTGCTGTCGAAGCCAAACCAAAGACACCAAAGACGCCAAATACAAAGAAGAAATGCTGCAAGCTCCCATTGCCCTGCTTGGGAGGAGCAGGTGCTGGGCACGGAGCTGGGCACCTCCTCCGAGCCCCTGCTGTCCCTGCCTCTCCCCCCACACCTGTGAGCATTTTGGCTTGCTCACGCTGTCTGGCAGAGAGGAAAACGCTGGCAAAACAAGCGCAGGGAGGCCTGAGGGCAGGTACCTGCCCCCAGCGTGGTGGTGGTGGATGTGGGGCTGCAGCGGGCAGGCAGAGCCCCGCCAGCGGGGAGCAATGTGGAAGGAGCCGCATCCAGCTGCCTGAGGAGCTGCTGCAGCCAGGAGGAAGATCAAGGTCTCAGGGAGTGGGAGGAAGGCCAGAGTCATTTGGGGAGCTTGGGAGGGAAAGCCTATCCCCTGGGCTCGGGTGGAGCTGGGAAGGAAAGTTTATCCAAAGGGCTTGCGAAGCTGGCTCTGGCTGGAGACCTCGGTGGACCCGAACTCCGGTCAGCCCCGGTCCAAGCGCACGATCCTGCACGCCCCGAGACAGCAGGGTGCTTGCGGCGGCGGCCGGAGGAAGTTTTGCTGACCCCGTCTTGTGGGGAGAACAATCAGGCATTGTCCTGCCCTTAGGAACCCGTTAAACTTTACACCCCTGGCTGTGCCGACCTGCCCATGAGGCTCAGGCGCTCTCCAAGGCAATCACTGCTGGGGCTGCAAGGGGCCTGGGCTGCCTGCTTCCAGCACATCCCCTACAGCCGTGTGGGGCTGGGAGCCTGCAGGGCTGGGGGTGGTGCTGGGGCACCTGCCTGCACCCCCCAGGCACGGGGAGCAAAGCGGGGCGGCGAGGCCAGGCGATGCTCCCACACATCCAGGCAAACCCCAGGGCTGGAGGGGGGCTTGGGTGTCTGCTAGGGCAGGCCCAAGGACTTTTTTAAAAAGGAAATTATTATTATTAATAATTATTATTTTAAAATGGACCATTTTATAGTGCTGTATCACTTCAGCAAATTTCCCATTTGGAAATAAAATGGTCCAAACATCGCATTTCGCAAAACGAAATATTTGAAAGATTCCGATGCAGATTGTGCCACCAGCTCCTGGTCAACGCCTTCCTTTCCCTTGCAGTCATTTTGAAATTGAAATTCCTCCCTCCCGGAGGCAGGAGCCTGGTGACACTTGCAGGGACCGGGGCTCTGGGTGCAGCCAGGTGGGGAACGGTGCCCGACATCCCGCTCCTGTCGCTCTTTCCCCCCTCCCGGCCCGGCTGTCAGCTCCTAACCCCCCCCGGGGGCCCTTTCCTGGCCGCTGCCGCCCCGCGGGTGCCCAGCAGCAGGCAGGGAGCCCCCGGCCCCCGTGGTCCCCGGCCGCTGGGAGCAGCCCCAGGCCCCGGGGGGGGCCGCATCCCGCCCCCTCCCCGCCGCATCCCGGGGGTACCGCGGCCTCCCCGCGCCCCCCGAGCCCCCGCAGCATCCCCGGGGGGTGGGGACGTACCCGTAACGGAGCCGCGGAGGAGCTGCCGCCGGCGGGCCCGGGCTTTGGCTGGTGTCAGAGCGCAGGGGAGAACCGAAAAATAAAATAGGGAAAAAAAAAAAAAAAAAGAAGGAAAAAAAAAAAAAAAAAGCCAAACCGGAGCCTATTGGTGAGGCGCTGCGGTGGGAGGGGAGCGCCCCCCCGGCCGCGGCTCCGGCCCGAGCGCTCCCTGCTGCTGCTGCCGCCCCGCCCGCAGCACGGGGAGGCACCGGGCACCGCGCACCGGGCACCGGGCACTGCGCACTGGGTACTGGGCACCGGGCACTACGCACTGGGCACCGGGCACCGGGCACCTGCCGGGCTCTGGCGGCATCAGGGCAGGCTCGGCTCAGCTCAGCTCAGCTCGGCTCGGCTCAGCTCGGTTTGGCTCGGTCGGAGCCTGCTGCTGCCGTGGGCACGGGGCGCTGCGGCACCGTGGGGGCAGAGAGGAGAAAGCTGGCGGAGGAGCCAGCTTTCTTGGGCTCTCTTTTCTCGTTCCCATCCCCGCGGTCCTGCTGCTTTGGGTAAGCACCGGCTGGTCCTGTGCCCTCCCGGGATGCAATAAACCCCTTTGCCCCAATGAGTGCCAGGCTGAGCTGCAGGGAGGGGGGTTCTGCACCCCTCAGCCCCACGCTGACGGTGCCGGGGTGCTCCGCAGTGGCAGAGGTCGGCCTTAAAAGCCAAGGTGCTCTAAGGAACCTGATAAAGGATCCCCCTGAGCCTGATATCTGTATCCCCTGGGACTCAGGGAGCAGTGCCGGGTGCAGGTGTAGGCTCTGTCAGAGGGTGCCTGGCCCGCGGGCACCGGCTGAGCCACGCACACGACACAGGGTTTGTGCTGGCTGCAGGGGTGAAGGAAGCATGAGCATGGAGCTTGGCCTGCCTCCACCGGCCTTCTGCAGCCTTGTTTGACCAGGGTTATCTGAGGCTTGCTTAAAATGTGTTTTCCGTCCTGGTTCACACGGAGCCTGTATGTCTGGGCAGCCGAGCCGAGTCCCAAGCACACTGAGCCCAGACGTTTTGGTACAAACATGTCCCAGTTCACTGCAGTTCACAGCAGCCCGCGGGGATCGTTCTTGGTGCATCTGACACAGCCCGGGTGGGCTCTGGGCTCCGTGCTCACTGCCCTGTGTCTGGGTGTTGGAACAAACCTGCGCAACATTTCCTCGTGCCATTGTAGCTGCATGCCGATGGTGGAAGGGAACAACAAGCAAGACAAAGCCAAACATTGCCCTTGAATTAGGCTGAGCTTTTCCTGGATGGCAGGCATTTGGGTTATCCGTGAAGGAGGAGTGCTGGGAAACGCAGCCCTGCCTTCCTACAGAGCTGCCTTCTTCTGTTCCTGGGCTGCGGGGAGGGCTGCAGCCCCTGCCTGCCTCCCCCTGTGCTGGGTGGCTGGGGGCTCTGGGCACTGCAAGTGGCACTGCTCGCCTGCCTCCCCCCAAATTTAGCATTGTGTCCTCCCTGCCTGGCCTGGACGCAGCCGGCTCTGGTGAGAGCAATCGTCTGGCAGCCCCCGCTCGAGGCGCAGAGCGAGCAGTGGCTGGAAGCTCTGCAGCAGTCCCCGTGCCGAGGAGCGGCTTGGCCAAATCCCAAAGGCTGACGGTGCCGCCGCGGCCCCGCGGGCCCCGCAGCGCTGCCCTCCCTGCCCGGGCCCCAGGGCGAAGCCCGGGTGGCAGCAGATGCCTGCGCTGTTTTCTAGGCTCTCTGGATGGCTTCTGACAGCTCCTGCTCCTGCCTTAGGTAAGGAACCCCCTCACCGCTCTGCCTTGAATATCTGCTGACCTTCTCGGCTAGGAGTCCCAGAAAAAATACACATTTCTTGGGGTTGTTTGGAAGCACGGCAAATAATTAACCATAGAGTGGCTTTTTCCTTGAGGAAACACGAGGTGCTGCTTTCTGTTCAGCTCCCAGGCACTGTGTGTTGCTGCTTGTCCCCCAGATCAGGGTCAAGCAGCACTGACAGCAGGCAGAACTTCCTGCAAGTCGGGTTTGAAATGAGCCCCTCAAGATGCCCCAGGTCCCAGGGTTTGGGTTCATTCCTCGGAGCTGCACTGCTGGAAGGGCTGAGCAAGTGCTGCTCAGTCCAGTGCAACCTGCAGGCAGCACTGAAATGTCCTCCCCCACCTCCCCTCCCCATTTTCTGTCCCTGAGCCCAGAACGAGGACAAAGAAACCCCAACCGCTCCCCAGCCACGCACACCCAGCCAAGCTGCAAACTGGTGGCGGATTAGGAACCACAAAAGCTCATTGCAAACCTTGTGGGAAGGGTTTGCAAAGCCAGGGGCAGGGCTGTGGCTCTCCAAGGGCCATGCCCCGAAGAGGACACCAGGGAGGTGCTGCATGGGGCGCCCAGAAGCCAGGTTGGGGTGCGCCGTGCTGTGCAGCTGGGGGTCACCCTGCCCCTCGCCCCGCTGCCCCCAAGCTGGGCAGCTCCCGGCGCGATGCCCGCACACCCCGTGCCCGCAGCACTCACGGCAGCTCGTGGGAAGAGCTCCAAGGAGAAGCGGTGTCCTTCAGACCGACACCAGCATCGGGGCTGTGCTGGTTCCAGCCAAAATCCAGCCTGGGGCAGCGCGCGGCGGTGCCGTCACCGGGGCATGGACCGCTGCGCTGTGCCCACATAGGACGAGGAAGTATGGATAATCCTTCGCCTTGCTATTTTTTTCCCCTCATGTGATCTTGCTTTTGGACTGCTATTTTGGGGCTGGACTCCAGCCCAGGTGAAAGACAAGGATTTAATCCAGCCCGCCTCCCCCGTGCGCCCGGAGCGCTGCCAGGGCCCTGTGCCTGGGTGGTGGGGCTGCCCCTGCTGCCGGTGCTGGTTCCCTGTGTGCTCCCCAGCCCTTTTCTCTCTTGCTGCAAGGCCATTTCTGTCCCCAAAGTGCTTCTGTGCAGTTAGGGGGTGACAGCAAACAGGCTGTGGTGTGTATGTGGTGCTCGGCTGCCCCGTGCCGCAGGCACCCCCTGCCCTATCCCCCCAGGGCTCGCACCGGGGTGCGGCATAGTGCCAGGGTTGGAGTCTCCCCAGCACCATCAGACCATTTTCCTCTCATTTTCCCCACAGAAGCAGCCTGCCAGGAAGCTGACAGGAGATAAATCAATTAACAAATGCTGGCAGCTTGCAGCAGCCTTGACATAAGCTGGTGCTGGGCCCTGCAAACCGCTCGCGGTCCCCTCGGGTGAGCTGTGAGCATCCCACCCGTGCTTGGAGGAGAGTGCGCAGGGCTGGGGGCAGGCAGGGGCTGCGGGGCTCCCCTGCTCCCCGGGGGGGCTTCACGTGCCGTAAAGCCAATGTGGGGCAGGACAGGAGGGGATGGGCCCTTTGCAGCCCAGAGGGTGTGTGCAAACAGGGGCACCCTTACCCGGACAAGCTCAGGGAAACCCGAATTTCCCTCGTCATGGGATGTCTCCGCAGGGCAGCTCCAGATGAAGCTGTTTCTGCAGCCAGCACCGACCGCATGGCACCGGGACAGGCAGCGGATGAGGGACAGGGCCCACGGTGTGAACCTCCAGTCAGAGGTGGGACTTTGTAAAAAATTGGTTATCTCAGACACGTGCTAGGTAAGTGAGAAGTTAAGGTCCAAAAATTGGAAAACCCACCCCTCTCCAGGCTATTTTGCAATCTGTAGATAACACATGACTTTCATTTTATTTTTTTTTAATTTTTATTTTTTAAAATCTACATAAGGAATTCCTCCCTGGCACTGAGTAAACGTGCTGTTCCCTTTCGGGGGGGGCAAGAAACCCTTCCTTATGAACACCGCGAGGGGAACAGCTGCTCTTTCGCGCTGCCTGCAGCCCGGGCTGGTGTTCGGGGGTCGTGTGCCGGGGAGCCCCGGGGAACCCGGGGGGACTGCGGGGGGCTGCGGGGAGTCCCGGGGAGCTCCGGGGAGCGGCGAGGAGCCGCGGGGAGCCCCGGGGCCGGCAGAGGGCGCCGAGCGGCCGCGGGAGGCGGCGCGGGGCCGGGGGCGCGGGGCCGGGGGCGCGGGGCTGTGCCGGGGGCTGCGGGCAGGCGTCCTCCAGCCCCGGTTTCCCAGGAGGGAGCGCTGCCCGCTGAGGAATGGCTCCCGGCCTTTGTTCCGTGACGGATGACCTTAAATATTAACCGAGTGCTGTGCGCTCGCACCCAGCCCGAGCTCAGAGCCAGGATGAATCCCGCAGGACTCCCCAGGACGCACTCACCAAATGAGGGCTCTGCTCTGTAATTGCGTTTCGGGGGCAGCAGACGTCTTCTGATTCATTTAATATGTGCCGTGTTGCATTTGGTGCAAGTCAGATACATAACAGAAGCCCTATTACCCTGAAAGTACTGCTGTTATCAAGTACTGACTTAATTACAGCTTTATCTAAAAATAGATCGGGTTAGCCTGACAGAACCCATTTTTCCCATCCCCTGCTGCTGGGTGTTGTTTCCTCCCTTCGGTTCCTGGCTCACCAAGCCCAGCATCAGCTCCTGCTTCGTTTTCCTGAGACCGACACCAGGCTGCCAGGCCATCGTTGCCCGCTGATTTAATTGCTTTTACTCATTCCCTGGAGTTTTCCCAACCTCCCCAAACTGACCTCCGTGTTCGGGTCACCCGGGTCTGGCTGCCTGGGACACCTCTGGCTCGGGGAGCTGCTGCCACCCAGGTGACCCCCGGGCAGGGACGCAGTGCGTTGCACAGGGGTTCTTACTTCTGTAGCTTTCCATGGCTGCCCTTGTTCACAAAACCCACCCAAGGTAAGGCCTGTTGCTGCTATCTACCCATGATCATCACTTTCCTCTGATTGTTACGCGTTTTCCAATGTTTTTATAGCTGGAAGCCGAGCCAAGGCAACTTTCTTCCCACTTGGGAATCTGCTTTTTGTGCCTTAGCGGTGTCAGTGAGTGGCAGTGGTGGATGGCAGAACCACGGATGAGTCCCGTTTCCACACAGCACTATCAGAGCATGGGGCCACCCATGGGCAGTGCCATGGGCTGACGCTGGCCCCGTTTGCTGCCCTGCTGAGGCTCCTTGGGGTATTCCTGGGGGAGCAGCAGCTCTCAAGGCGCTGGCAGAGCCCAGTGCCTGGACCAGCCGCCTGCTCCTGGCGCGCCGTTTGTTCCCCCAGCCTGGCAGCGTCTGCCATCCACCAGAAGAGGGCTGCTGCAGGCTCCTCCTGCCTTTGGAGAGGGCTCGCTGCGTCCCACAAATGTATGGGGTGGAAGGAGCCCAGGCAGAGGAGCCTGGCTCTCCAGACGTGTGTTGGGAGATGTGTCCAAATTTCTCCTCTTGCCCTGTTGCCTAGGAAAGCTCTTCCCTCCTCACCGGGTGTGCGGGAGCAGAGGGAGGTCAGCGCAGGCACCGCAGTGCCCAGCTCACTGTGGACAGCTGCCCCGGTCGTTGTGGTGTGGGGTTTTCTGATCTGAACCCCAGGAGGAAAAAAATAATGGGGCTTCAGTGCCGGCTCGAGGAGATACCTCACTGCCCAAAATCTCCAAGAATTTCTTATGTTCTCTTTGTCAGCTCAGCCATTTGAGCAAATAGTGTCAGCCAGGGCTGGCCACACAAAGCAAGGTCGGTTATGGGCCGTTCTCCTGGAACAGAGGCACTTGGAGCCGGCACAAAGAAATCTCTGTCTCTCCTCTTCGCTGGCATCCTGGCAATTAACCCAGAGAATCGCAGCTTGCCCTTGTCTTGGGCACTAAGTGCCCTCCTGCAAACCTGCCCCGGTCTCTGTTGCATGGCCTGGAGGCTGCCTGCCCCCATCTCAGCTCCCTGCAGGGTCTCTCCGTGCTGCCCAAGTGCCAGGCACGGGGCCCTGGTGGGTGCGGGGGCTCAGGGTTCTGGGGGATCCCGGCCGTGCGGGAAAGTCACGCTGCTGGCACCGCACCGGGAAATGCGACACGAAGGAGGAACTCTCCAGCTTCCAGAAGAAGTGGTTACCAAAATACCCAAATGTTTCCTTTTTCTGCACTATTTGTAAGCAATGATGTCCAGAGAACATCAAAATTTGCAGTCACCTCAGATCAGACGTGAGTAATGTGATGTAAAGCACGCACAGACTGTGTTTTCCAGTGTGTTCAGTTTTCCCCCTGCAACCTCCCAAGCAAAACCCACGAGCAGGTGCTGCAGCCCCGCGGGGACCTGGCCCAGCCCAGCACACGGGGATGGGGGGCCTGTGTGGGCTCACTGCAGGCTGTGTGGGCTCGGGCAGCAGGGCTGACCCGAACACCGACCACACCAAACACCCCACAAACTGCCCCTCCTGCGCATCGAGGCTTCGCGGTGCCGGCGTGCCCTCTCCCCGAGGTGCTAAAGCAGCCGGTATCTCCGTCTGCAGATGAAGACGTGGCTGACCCGGGGGACTTTTCCTGTCCCCGCAGAACAATGCCTTGCAGAGGCTGCTCTGGCGCTGCAGAGGAAGCAGGGTGTGCGCCAAGGCGCTGCGGTGCCCTCGGAAACCCAGCCCTGCCCTGCCACCGTCCTGTAATTAACTGCGCGCCCCAGAGCTAAACAGGCGAGGTGGGAAAGGGTCGGTGGTCCAAATAATCTGCTGGCAAAGGCTGTGACGGCTCACGCCGGTATCTCCTGGTTGTGTTATTTAAAAATAAAATCATTGCATGTCCAGACTGGGCCAGTGGACTCGCATGAGGAAGTGCTCTTGGGTAATTAAGAAATGTTCTTTATCCAATTTGGTGCTGTACTTCCTACAGATCAAATTATCGAAAGATGAATTCAATTTCAAAATCATTTAACAAAATCTTTGGTTTTGCTCTTTTTAATGATTTATATATATATATATTTTTTTTTTCTTGTATAAAGTCACTGAAAACTCTCACTATGGCCAATAAAGCCATAATGAGCAAGAAAATTAATTAGACAAAAACAAAGGCAAGGGGAAAGAATGTAAGTCATGCTTGGGCAATATTGCAGAAAATACAGCTCACTGAAGTCCAGCCCACTAAGAAACAAATATTTAACTGCACAGTAAATAACATATTTTTATTCTAAGAGGGGCCCATTTCAAACCCAGGCCAAGGGAACACAAACAGGCAGGCAGCCCTGCTCGCGCAGACCCCGCGCTCCCCTGCGTCCTGCCGCTGGGAGTGGAAAGCGATGAAACCAAAAATGGAGAGGAACGAAACCCGGGTCTGGCCCGTGCGCCAACACTATTAATTAAGAATTGTTGTTGGTTTCAGAGTTGCAGCTTGGTGGGGAAGGGCTGCGCCGCCCGGCCGGCAGCAGGCAGAGAGCAGGAGGAGGGCGCCGCGGGCGCGCCTGTAGCCAGGTAGCGCGTGGAGAGCTCTCCAGCTGATCCGTGGCTTTCGTAGTGAATGCAATTGCTCCCAATCACGGGTATCTTATCTGCAGGCTCCAAGGGCATGTCCTCTGCAAACACTGCCGTGAAAACAAACACCGGGCAGTGGTGGGGTTTCCGACTGCAAGGCCAGCACGAGGAGGTGGATCCACTTACTGCGCCCGTTCCCTGGTGCCTGAATGTGCTGAGATGCGCTGAGCGGCGCGAGGACGCTGCAGCACGGTGACCTTGAACAGACAAAATATAGGCCTGTGAAAATAATTGAGGAGAGTTTTGTCCTCCCGCTCCCACAGCTGAATGCTTCAGGCAGCTTCATTTCGCCTTGTTCCTCACGAGGAAGCTCTGCAGGGACTGGGGGGACGGGCAGGCTTTTTT